GTTTATATCAAATATGTCTTGTTGCAACTTAAAATGTTTATTGAAATTCTTTTATAATTGTAAATGAATAAGCCCTTCTAGTAGGTATGCAAGGAAGCACTTTTTTCAGCCCTTTTTGTGTAGGCCTCTTAGAATGGCTTTACTTAAGAAGGCCTACCTAAATTATCTTCTGGGAAGTTAGTAAAACTGGCACTGAAGGCAATAGGGTCTAAAAGAGTGAAATCGGGAATTGTATGGAAATTTCGCACCACGCTAGCGTCACTGAGCTGTAGAGGGACATCTGTACTGTGTTCCCGGACATAGCAATATCGAAGGGAATGAGATGACCAGATGCTGCTCAGAGAAGCCAATAGAAGAAGCGAATAGGTCCGTACTACTACCGTTTAATGATCACGTTAAGAAAATGAATGAGTACACCGTGGCCATGACGAATGACTTGTGGAACAAACGGGAGGACTGTGAGACCACAGAAGTCCGTTCCCACGACAGTCGGGTCTACGTAACCGGAACGACCCAGATTTATATCTGGCCAAGGACTGTCACTCCAGCAACACTCCCCAAAAAGTCTTTGGGGAATTTGTATGCTGCTACAAAAACAACAACAACCACAGAAGTCCTTACCGGCATCAACATAGGACACAACTATAGCACCAAGGCGTCAACGGTGGCGAATACCAACAAGTACTCTCTGCAGAGGCTGCCATGATGAGGATGAGGAAGAGTCAATTGGCCACTATCTGTGTCGATGTCCAGGTCAACAGACGAAGCGACTCAACCATTTGGGTTCCCCCTTCTTCAATAGTCTGGGCGAAGTAGCCGATGCGGAACTGTTGGATCTCCTCGGCTTCATCAGGGATAGTAATTGCTTTAGTAAAGTAATGAATTAAAGCAACTTTTTTGATTTAGGTACGTGTCTCCCTCGACACCCAAAAAAAAGGGCACTCAAAACGGACAAATCTGTCTCCGAGTGAAAGTATGGAATATGCCACACACGCACTCCCAACCTAACCTATCCTAGAGAACTGGCTAAATGATCTATATATATCACTTTTACCACGCAGTTTAATATCTACAATACTTGAGTACAAGGCCGTTTCAAGAAAAGAGGAGTCCAGCCTCAAGGTCGCCAAAAGATGAGCTAATATACTCCATACTTCCAAAAGCTGTTCTAAACTCTCTGAGAAATTCAGAATTAGATGAAGTGTTGCCTTTAATATTTAACTAGTTTCTTCCCCAGTACTTATCTAATTTTACGACTTTTATAATAATAATCGCAAGTTTCAATATATAATCTCTTAGTATTTCTGTAAAACTTTAAAGATTGGACGATTTTTTCAAAGCATTTGCTCATTTTTTCATCTTTAAAAGTTTAGTCATTTCCTCATTTTATACCGTAAAATAACAGGTTTCAAATATACGTTACACAACAGCTGTTCGCTTAACTAATAATTCTGCATTACCTAGCGAGCCTCATTAAATTCTACAAATATTCCTTCAAGTGTGAACTATGATTTTCCACGCCTAATTCAAGTTGCTCAAATTTCCGGCGTAGCCACAAGCATATTGTCGCCTTGAAAAGTTCATAAAATTAAATATTCAGTGTCAAAGCAACATCATTGAAATGCTAAAATCATTAGTGCAAGAAATAATAATAATTCCAGAAAAACATGTTTATCATAATTTTATTTGCACAAGTTGGCGAAACAAATGATGTTGTTGAAAGCGTAAATGAGTATAAATACAGATAAAAATTAACCAAAACCTGCATTTTTGTATATTAGAAACAAAAACAAAAAGAGATCCTAAGGATCAACATGTTATGCAAATAAAAGCACAAGGAAAGACAAAAATTAGAATGTTAGACATCGCATTTGTACGCAGCCATAAGGTCCAATCGAACTAGTTTCACTCACATCCAACTGCCCTACACACATTTATTGCGTCTACCATGAAAGCTATCACACATCTACAGCAAATTTACTATTTATCTACTTATTCATGCTCTCTTCCCCATTCTCTTCCCTCCATAGATTTCTGATCCTAACGAGGTGTACACCGGCAAACGTGTGGCCGACAAACCGCTGACCGAAGATCAAATGATCGGCGAGACACTGGCCATTGTCTTGGGCGACACAAAGGTCTGGTCGGCTGCCATGTTTTGGGAACGCAACAAATTCACCAACCGCACCTATTTTGCACCATACGCGTACAAAACCGAATTGAATACACGCAAATTTAAAGTCGAAGACTTAGCACGTCTGAACAAAACGCACGAAATATATACGGAGAAGAAGTATTTCAAGTTTTTGAAACAACGTTGGTCCGCCAACTTTGATGACCTAGAAACGTTCTATATGAAAATGAAGTTGCGTCACAACGAAACAGGTGAATATATGCAAAAATACGAACACTACCCGAATTCGTATCGTGCGGCAAACCTGAAGCACGGCTTTTGGACACAACCGCAATTCGATTGTGATGGCTATGTGAAGAAGTGGCTCGTGACCTATGCGGCACCCTTTTTTGGCTGGGATAGCCTTAAAGTGAAACTGGAATTCAAGTAAGTGGAAGTAGAATCATAGAAAAAGATATACATACATAATTTGGCACAGAGCAGGACAACCGGATTTGGTTTTATTTGTTATGACGAGTTTGCATGAAATTGTTGTTGTGCAAGGATTTTTTTACAATGCATGCTTGTATGTAGTACATAGATGTGTATCCTTTTGAAAAATGAATTATTCATATGTTTTGTTTGTGGCTTTGAAAGTCACTGCACCGTTTGTGCAAGTGTACTATAGAAATTCGGGGCAAAGCATTCAGCTAATTTCAATAACAATTAGCGATTATATGGGTCAGGAATTATGCGTTGTATGCGCGTTCAATTGAATACTCTTATAATGCAATTAAAATGTAACATTTGTCATTTTTTAGGGGTGTGGTTGCCGTTTCGATGGATATGTTGCAATTGGACATTAATCAGTGCCCCGATTGGTTCTTTGAACCCAACGCTTTCAAAAACACGCACAAATGTGATGACCGAACGTCATATGTAAGTTCAAATTATACCTGAAAATGTGTAGTCCTCCTAATGCAGGAAATAAAATTGTATACCTTTATTTGCTCAATAATTACTCTTCTATCCCACCTAATATACATTTTTCCATTAACCCGCTTGCAGTGTGTACCCATTATGGGTCGTGGCTATGAAACAGGTGGTTACAAATGTGAATGTCTACAAGGCTACGAATACCCCTTCGAAGATCCGATCACCTACTACGACGGTCAACTGGTAGAAGCTGAATACCAAAACATCGTAGCCGATCAGCAATCACGTTACGATACATTCCACTGCCGTTTGGCTGGCGCGCCTGGATTGCAAGCCGCCATCTCGCTAATCGTATCACTGCTTGGGTTAACGTTAATATTAATGTATAAGTTCAGGTGAAGAAACTGTAGCACATGCGGTGGCGGCGGCAGCGGTGGCATTTTACAAACAAGTGCCTGAATCGCTCGTCACAGTAACAAACAATCAATACGTCCATTTTCGTTTAAGTACTACATAGTATGTAAGTAAGAGTATTTGATAGCTAAAAAAGTGCATATAATCAACCATAGAATTATCTCTTCTGCACAAGAAGTGTGAATGCCAAGATATACATCCATATATAACTATATACATATGTATATACATACATAAGGAAATGCGTATGTAGAATATTTTTATAAGCTACCAAGAATCTCAAATAACAAAAAAAAACACACACTGCAAAAACATTCCTTCCGTTCATCCTGCCAACAACAGTATTTGCAAATAATAAGCGAAATATTTACTATCAAAGGCTGCGGTATGAGCAGCAGCAACGTCGCTAACAACAACAACATCAATAGCAATACAATGGGGAAACGTGAGGAGTGCTGAGAAACAGTGTCATCATTTATCCAAGGCGATTAAGTTGTAGACATAATCTATTACAATGCATCTAGTTATTTGTCATTTGTTGTATAGCACAGCAGCGAGATGAGGAGCAGAAAGTAATCGACAGGCAACAAGCAGTGGTATAATCGCAGAAGAAAAGCGCAAACGTGCGTTAAGCAAGCAGCAACTTCAGCTTCGAATTCCGCCTTCAGAGCTCATATTACCATCAATAGAAGGCACGAAAATGCAAACGGGTAAAGCATTTGAGAAACTACAAAATTGGCAGAGTTCGCTGAGCGCAAATTTAACAAAAACACTTTGGCATAGCAAAAGCGACAAAGTTCGCAATAAAAGAAAACCTGTTCAATCAAAAGCCAAATAAACTAGCTTTCTTGTGTCTCTCTACCACACGCTTACTACAACATCTCGCGACTAATTCTCGCTTCTTCTTTTGAGCAGCTGAGCTCAAAGAGAGTACATTTAGAAACATAAGCGCCTTGAAAGGGTAGAAAATATGGCCACTGTGCCGAGTCTCAATTGAAAACTCTCAGTCTTTATTTGGCCATGCCATTCAAAGTTGTGGTCGCAAAGTCTTAGACATTCAGAGGCGATCAAAGCTGAGTGTGCCCATTGTTGTTGTTGCTGTTGTTAGTGTTGGCTTGCTGTCAGCCTTACACCCTTCTTTCTATGAACTGTCCACACAACGAGATGCGCTTACTGGCATGCCAAATCGCCGGGTCGTCCATGCGCATGTCCGTCTGCGTGTATGCCTTGTACCTTAGACGCTTTTTAAGGTGTGCGTGTGTGTTTTTTACATATGCCCTCCTGTGCTGTCTGATTCGCTGATGTGTACTTTTTATGCGCCTCTTTCCTTGTTTTTGTATTTTTCATTATTTTTTGCATGAATTAAAATTTTTTCATAGTTGATTATCAAATGTGCCTGAATTTTTATTATCTTCAATTGCACCCTGAGAACCTTTTTTCCTCTGCCGCCAGTAGTGGCGATTATGCCTAGCAAAAAAACCAGTTCAACACTTGGTCCGGCAAAAACGCCGTTACTTTTTTGAATCGGCAAAAAATATAGCGCATATAGCGTTTTTGAGTAACTTTGATATCAAAAAATATTTACGGAAGAAAAAAAAAACCCAGAGACGATGCGCATGATTTAGGCTTCGCAGTCGTCCTTCGCAGTGGTCAAAGTTTTTGCAGCAAAATATTTTCACACATTTTTCATATTTAGCGCTCGGTGATTGACCACTAGAAGGAAGAGCGTCGTGTTCGCTGCCTAATCGGCAGTCAGGGAGGGAGGCAGACAAGCAGGCAGGCAGCCAGACAGGCAGGACGGTGATAGGTTTGCATAGCAAACGAGTGGTACCTCCTCCTGCTGCTTTTATTTTTTATTACACTCCATTTTATGATTAGTTTTTGCACCGCTTTCTGCTAAGATGCGCTTCGTGGTCTATTGTATTCGCGCCACCAACGTGCGGCGTATGGCTCACAGCTGTGCGCTGCTTTGCAATACGGACCAATATGAAGATAATAATAATATCTGCACCAGTTTTTGTAGTTGTTGGCTTTGATGAAAAAACGGGTTTTGAGTTTTTTATGAACTTTATTAGTCTTTTGTATTTTTTTTTTATAATTGCAAGACTTATGACCACAAGAATGCTTCGTAATACAATATTGCATTTGGAATACCTATTCTTGTGCTATTCAGTCGATATTTTTGCAAACAAAAAACTTAACTCGTACATACGATTAAATAGACTCCGTCCAGAAGAGAGATACAAAAAAACATGCATATGTATGTATGTAATCTCGAATATCGAATCATATAAACAATTTTATACATTTACAGACATATTATATAGAATTTTACACGTATCAATTATGTGCCTTTTTGTTGTAAACCAGTTAGTATAAGCTTTTTACTGACTCGAATTTCATGCAGTTATGTATGTACATATGTAATATTAAAAATATGCATAATTTATTNTAACAGTTAGTATAAGCTTTTTACTGACTCGAAGTTCATGCAGTTATGTATGTACATATGTAATATTAAAAATATGCATAATTTATTTAAGGGCCAGTTTTGAGTGAAATTTCATTTACCGACTTAAAACTGAAAATAAATTTAATGCCTGAACCTGCTGTGTAAAATTAAGTTCAGAATGCTTAAGAATTGGGGCCATGATAACCAGGATCAGCTTTTTTACATGAATTACATACACCCACAAACAAAAAATATGTGACATTTTGTTATATTTTTTAATTACATCCTTTTAAAATTACACTTTTTCGGAAAATATGTATTAGGGCGCGTTGATTGTTTTTAAAATCGTATAGCAAAAACGTAAACTACATAAAATTATAAGAAAATTCTCCGAAGAAACCATGTATCTAAAATAAAATCCTAATCCGCGCCTCTCGACTTGAAAATTTATATGGCCGCCTTTGCCAAAAAAAAATGAATGTTAGAAAAAATAGGTTTTTCCAAAAAGAAATCGAATTTTCTGAATAAAATTGTTTAGTAAGGTAGTTCTTTTGCACTTTATATTTTTTCTACTCAACATTTTTTTCATTAAAAAAATATTCAGCCAAGTAAAAAAGTTTGTATATAATTTTATATTTAATATTTCTATAAGGAACATAGATACAAAAATTTTCTTCATAATTTAATAAAAAAGATTGGAAATGCAAAATAAAAAAAATTGCACTCAAAAAACTTTTAATTTTCAAGGCGAGAGGCGCGGATTAGGGTTTGATTTTAGACCCATGGTTTCTTAAGAGAATTTTCTTAGAATTTAATGTAGATTACGTTTTTGCTATACGATTTTTAATTTTTTTTTTTCGTCCATACAAATCAACCCGCCCTAATATGTATACTTTTACTCCCAAAATTGAGCCAAATTTTGTACACAGTCTCATTCTTGGATTTAAATGGGATTAAAATATAAGGCATATTTTAAAACAAAATTGAGAAACAAATTTTAGCATGTAAAACATTGCGAATACTAACAAAAAAAGAGCTGTACTACTACTTTCGTTCTCATGGTCTCATCAGAAGTTTCACTGAAACACTTGCAATTAAAATGCTCTAAATTATATGTTTATATAAAATCATGTTCAACTTTTTTGTTTTATAATTGTACAACCATTTTATCAGAGCTTGAAAATATCGAAAAACGATATCTTTTGGACAATAAAAATGTTTGAAGTAAATTAACAGTGTTTTTATGTGTTTGTGAGTTTTGTTTTAGTAAATAAGATTAGATTAGATTCTATGAATATTTCTTTATTTTGGGTTTTTAAACCGTTCCGGCTAAATACATTTTTTTTGCTGCTATGGCTTGATTACCGTAATCACCAAGGCTCGAATCGTCACATACGATATCGTCTTACTAGTCACGTAAAAATACATTTTTCGGATTATGACATACGTGAACGTACTCTTTATCTAATTCAGCTCATATGACTGACGTATCATGTAATTTTCTTGCGGATGGTTTTCGATACGTGAACGGATGTTACGATTCGAGCCCAGAGTTCTGTGTCCAATCGAGACTTTAAGGTCAATTGTTAAAAGGAAAATTATACTAGTTAATCCTAAAAACAAAGCAGAATTTTCGGAGAACATACTGCAGGTCTAATTAATTTTACTAAAGAGCACATTTCGAAATCTATCCCGCCTATTATGAGTTTTCATAAGATAGGCGATAAACGCTTGCAACCATCAGGGCTCGAATCGTCACATACGATATCGTATTACTCGTCTCGTAAAAATACATTTTTCGGATTAAGACATACGTGAATGTACTCTTTATCCCATTCAGCTTATACGACTGGCGTGTCACATAATCTTCCTTCGTATGGTTTTCGATTCGTGAATAACAGAATGCCATTGTTTATCGTGCATCCTACGAATTCATAATAGGAGGGTTTGCCAGTCCATGCCTAGGGGATGTTTAGATGTATTAGCCAACAAGAAGTTCGTCTAACATTTAGAATTTTAAATACTGATTATTTCGATTATATGTCAGCAAATTTCTGTTAGTATAATACCTGAATTATATGTACTAATATTCTATTGAAAGGATTTAAAAATGCAGTAGAGGAGACACACCTTTTGTACAAGAAGGTGACGAGACTCGTCCAGTGCCCAACCGGTGGGGTCATTGCACCTGTTCTCCTTGAAAATGTCGAAGGCAAATAGTTCATAATTTTAGCAGTCGAAGTTATAGTGGGAAGTTATACATGGACTTGGTTCCCACAGGATGTATGTACTGCCGTGCACCGAAGCTATGTAGTAATTGAACTCTTGCAAGCGAAATTAGCATTATTTGTTTTGAAACTGTACTCCAAACTCGTAAGATCGTTTTACTAGAATTACATAGCTCGATTATCGATTATTGATTACAGATTCCTCTACACAAGACAATTAATTTCCTTTTTTAATTTGCCAAAACAAACTAAACCAGAATCGTAATATTTCGTCGCCTTAAATTTACAAATATATATAGACACATATCAGTATTTACTTACCGTACTTATTCATTTTGTTATTCCTGAAATAAATCTCTTCCAAAGCAATAGTCGCAAATGTTGATTGGTAATTGTTGAAATTATTTCGCCGATTCTTAAAAAGTGGTAGTTTTTAAATAGTTTATTATGGATTTTAAAAATTGTATAGCAGATGAAGCTTGAAGAATTTGAGAAAGCAGAAGATTAGAGATAGTTGGAATGTTTTTTAAAAGGAAAATTTGCAATTTTTTTTGTACAGCTCTTCTGCTATTTTAACTGTTTTTTTTCGGTTGATTTTTAACGATTCGTGAACACAATACAGGAAAAAACGCTCAAAACAACAACACCAAACAAACTGCAAAAAAATCGTATTTGCTTTTCTCGTTCAATTCACAAATTGGATTTGTTTTCTGAATTCCGCTATAATATCCATTAAATTTGTTTATAATTTTGGCGAAATTTTGATGGATCTATTTTTTTAAATATTTTTAAAGCGTTTTTGAATTTTATTTGAAAAATTTGTTTGCTTTTGAATTTATGAATATTTTTTCTCAAATGAAACCATTTTTTTCACGGTGAACTATGTTCGATGTGTCAGTTGCAAAGGTAAAAATTTCAAAGTGGAAAACGTGAAGAAAATAAAACAAGCGAAAATGTGGAAATCAAAATTGATATATTTTAAGATATCCTGCTATGCATATGAAATAGTACTACAAAAAATTTCGCAGACACGTAGATTTCATAATTAAAAAATATATAAAAAACCGAATAGGAAATTTAAAAACGTGCAATAGATACGTAAAAAATTAAGGTGTGTATGCGAGAAAAACTGGTCTATTAAAAATTGGCACAAAATCCGTATTTATTGACCAATAATAAATTATAGCGCTTATTCTGAAGGTGTATAACTATGAGACCACGTGTTAATATGTTTATTTCGTCATATTGTTGTGGAATACGCGGAAGTTCGCAGTTTCAAATTATGTAACTCCTTTCATTAGGCGCCGGACATCATTTTGCGTTATCTTGGTATACACCGTAACATGTTAATGGAATTCGCATTTCTGGTATTCGTTGCATCTTGCGATTAATGAAACTATCCCTTTTCTTAGCTCTAACATTTTTTTATTTAACCCTTTCTAGCCATTTTTTGTGGCGATGCTGGCCCTAACTTTAACACTTTATCGCCAATCCACATAAGCCGTTTTATTTGTCGTTTTTGAGCACTGTTGTATTTTTTAGCATTGGTGGTGTGAAAACCCCCAATGAGTTTAAGATACCTGGCCTCACAATATTATGCGTTTATTCTGTAAAGAACTTACCTGGTTATTTAAATTTGTGTACCTCCCTTTCAGCCTTTGTTAACATTGAATGTACTTTGGCGGTAAAGGTAGTCGAATGTATCGTTGAAATAGTACTCCAACAAACATTTAGGTTAGAGAACGATTAGAAAAAGATTTGAATTCGAATGTGTATCTCTACCGTAGAAGGTTAGAAGACGATTAGAGAAACTATCGAGAGTTATATCATTCTCTACAAACCAGAGACTCAGTTCTCAATATCGAGAAAAAGATTAGATGTCTAATCGTATTCTAACGCCGAATCCTGATTGGTTTCTATTGGCTGGTGTTTTTAAAATCATTATATACGCGAATTCTATATTGACAATGGAACGCTAAAAAACGAAAACCAAATACAAATAATTTATATATTTGTTGAATCGATACCAACTTATATGAATTCGCCTTGATACGACGATTCTTTTATATGGAGAAAATGAGCAACACCTCTTAGCACAGTTTCTAAAAATTTAATAAAATTAAAAAAAGAAAAATTGTTTCTTTTTTAAAGCATTAAAATCTATAGGTTAGGTTAGGTTGTCGCGATCGTCTATAAGACAAACTTACGCTCAGGACACATTGTGATGCCGCATGCTGGGTCAGCAACTCCCAATCCCTCCAAAACCCATTTTGAACTTTGAACGAATTTTAGACGCATCTAAGGTCCTCCAAGTAGTTGAAGAATTGCCTACGGAGAGTGGAGAGTCTTCGTCTGGATAGAGCAGAGCACTGGCACAACAGATGCAGAATCGTTTCCCACTCCTCTT